AATAAATAATTTTAGTCATCTATAAGATATTAGTAAGTAATATCATCAATAGATAAATTTATTTGAATATTTTCTCATATAGCAAATGCAAAAAAAAAAATATTATGAATTTATAACAATTTAACCAAAATTATAAATTTCTTAGTCTTTTAATAAAAATGTAAATTATAAAATAGTCATCAATATTTATTTAATATTATTATAAATAAATTAAATTATTTATTAACCTAAATTAAAACTCTTTTTTATCAAAAAAACCAAATCATATAAAAATTTGCTTTGTATTACTTACTTCTTAAAAGTAATGAATTAAATAATTAAATTTAATAACTCTTAATTTAAAATCAAATAATATTATATATAAATATATTATTATAAATAGCTTAATAATTTTAATAAATATTAATAGTTTAAATAAATTAAAAATATAATAAAAGTTTTAAATTTATTTTAATTTTAATTTTTTATTTAATATAATATTTATATTTATATTTATTTTAGATTATTTATGTATTTTTCGATAAGAATTTATAAATAAATAAAGATTATTCTAAGTTTTATATCTAAAATCTTTAACAATGTATATTATTTAAAAAATATTAATATTTAAAATTGTAATAACTAAAGTATTAATAGGTAATGGGACTTATTCAAAATATTAAAATTCAAAAAAAAAAAGTGATTTAAACCTATGTAACTTGCATATAACGATAATAATAGATAAAACTTATTATCGTAAAAAAATCAAGATTTTAAATCACGTCTTTTATTACATGATACTACAAATAAATTTTCACTCTGATAACAATCCAGAAAAAATGAGTGACGAATAGGATTAGTCACTTAGATGTGAAAAAAGCATTGATATATGTCAGGGTTGAGAAATTAGTACAGTTAGTACACATAATAATTAATATAAAATTTAGTACAGTACAGTACAAGTACAAGGTCAAAATTTGCCTAATACATACAAATTTCCCAACCCTGGATATATGTATATAGCTCGCTGATATATTTATGAAAGATTAGATACTTGATAGTTTACAGTTTTTTTTATTTTTATTTTTATGAATTTTTTTTTTTTTTTTTGTTTTTCAAAAACGGGCATCTGTTAATCTGTAGAACCAATTTTATTTTTTTATTTTATGGTTATTCTAAATTAATTAATATATATAATTTTAAAACCTGAGGAGGACTTCTTACATAACACATTAGTAACAAAAAATATGGGAATGTCAAAAAATCAGGAACATAATGTAAATGCAACTAAATCATTTGTTTTATGAGAAAGGCACGTTTAGAAGAGGTTTGTTCGATCGGAAAGAAGCTGAAAAAAATATACAACAGGAAAATTTTCAATACAAATAGTTTATTCGAATTACTTTATCTGAATCATTTTTAAAGGATTAAGATCGATAAAGCCTTTCACATGGAAACTAACTTTCGAATCGTACAACTTTCTTTTTATAGCTGTTACATAATAATATTTTAGATCGCCCAGTTCTGTTTATTATGAAGTTTGAGAGATATTAAAGCTATTTAAAGGCTATTCAATAAGTTCAGTAGAAGGATTTTTTAACTAATGTATTATTTACATAAATAACTGATAATTCTATTAATAATTTTGCTGCTGTTAACTCTCAAACATTAAAAGCTTACATCTTTGTTTTTATTTAAATAACTTTACGTCTTGGATGACAAAAAAAAAAAAGGAATCGTTAATTCATCTTTCAACACTAACAAATCATTGTTCACCGTAAAACAGGAGGTCTTTAACGCTCGCGAACGAATTTAATGAGATTAAATTTGAACTTTCGAAATGATGATTTAAAAAAATTTACAACGTGAAGAATTGCTATTATGCTTAATAATTATCTTAATGATATTCCCATATTTTTTTGTTAAACAAAAAGTTTCCAATATATAATTTATAATTTTTTTTTTTTATATTATTAAAAAGTGTTTTTCATATAGCTACGAAACACTAAAATATTACTGTCAAGAGAAAATTGAAGAAGAATGAAGAAGGAGAAAAAGATATGTAAAGTTTAATTATAAAATATAAAATATACGAATTGATAAAGCGAAAGATCACACTCTTAATCAAGGAGGTATATATATGTGGAGGCAATGTTTTACTAATAAATTTTTTTACTACTCAAACGAGCTTACAGGAAAAATTGTAGGAAAGAAACGACCTGAAAGTTTTTGTTGTATATAGGGTTGAACATTAGATACGATTTAAGCGAAATGTAACCCAAGGTTTCAAAGACGAGTTCCGTTTTGTAGATTATGTTTTAAGAAATGAAATGTTTAAATAAGATTAATGTCCATTTCATGAGAGATATGGTACGTTTGTTCATTATCATAACAATCATAATAATTGAAATTTTTTTTTTTTTTTTTGGTGGCCAACGGGCCACAGTCCTTTCAAAGTCAAATCATGGCAATTTTTATACATAAAAAAAAAAGGTTGTAAAAAATATCCCCAACAATTTTTTCCATGAGTTCGATAATGTCGTGAGAATTGAATTATAAATCAATTGTTTATGTTTCTTTCATTGAACTGGTTTTTTTTTTATTTTCGCGTTTGATAACTTATCAGGAAATCATCTTTGCTATTTTAAGATTCCCTTTGACTTGCCACAATAACCTTGTTTGACTTTCTAATTTACAATATTATAGAAACTTTAATTTACTTGAATTCCGTTAATTCCATTACCTTATCAAAGCATCGCCGAATTCACTTTACTTTTTAAAAACTCCCTTTGAATTGCACATTTCTGGCTGATTTTGACAGTCATAAGTGTAAAAATAATGTCTAAAAGAATTTTTTTTTTACTACATGAACTAGATAGATCTTTGCTTGAAGGAGAACCCTTTGATCTTGTTATTGTGGCATTCAAGACAAATTCTTGTGATATTCTTAAGTTTTATTTTTACTTTCGCGTTTGAAATGATAACGTCTTATCTTTTCACATAAACAACCTTTGACTTACCATAATAATCTTTTAATTTACACAATTTAATTCCATAAAGCCTGCGAAATTGTAAACCTTCTAACCAAAAATCGAATTCTGTCCATCAAAAGGGTTTGAATCTTTTTTTTTTTGTTTTAGTTTCGTATGTCAAAAATCGTAATAATACCTTGCTTAAATCATTTACTCCAATGGCTAGACAGTCGTAATCTGCGTAATTATAATTCCCAAAAGAATTTTTTTAAACAATATAAACCAGATAGATCTTAGCTTGAGAAAATTTTTTTACATAAACAAAAGAAGGACAGACTATTTTGGGATTTATCAAACCAAGATAACGATTTTTTGTGTGAAATTCTAGATTCATTCTTGTAATAATTAACGTAAGAAATTCTGACACCAATTCATTGATTTTTAATAAAATAATCGGGTTATTTATTTCCTGTTATTGGTCGTATCATGCTGATTTTTATGGACTAGAATTTTTTGCCAACGGCTAAATATCAAATACAGCAAATTATATTATACTTTTCATTATTACAATATTTTACTGACGCAATACACTTTTTGTTGCTATATCGTCACATCAATAATATAAATATATATATAAAATTCGTCCAATAAGAAATCGCTCAACTTTGAATGACCCTTTACGTTCTTTGTTTTTATGTCTAACTTACTTTTTTTTTTCTTGGAACAAAGATTCATGAGTGCTCTTTAAACTTTGATATTTTTTTTATAAATCTATTTGTAAACAAATAACCAAAATAAGTAGTAATCCCAATTTGGATGCAAACTTGAAAATCGGCTAATTTTGAGTGCACCAAAAAAATATCCATCAGAATTGAACACCCCTATTAAAAAAATTTTTTTTTTATTACCTACGGGCCTTGCTTTCATGGGCCAATTATAACAATGCACTGCGTCAATAATGGCCGCAGTTAATGATCATTACACCATGCGCCTAAATATTGGCACCGAAAATCTGCACGGCCAACAACCGCAGTAGTTTTTGAGAGGAAAGATTTATTTTATTAAACTCGGCCGATAAATGGAATAAAGCAACCCTTTCTCATTTCATTTCATTTTTTTTTTTTTATGAGCTAGAAAAAATTAGTTCGGTTAACTATAAGTCCGTGCATAATCATAAGTGTGTTACAATATGAACAATAAGGACGATTTCGAGAGACGAACAGAAAAAGAAAGGATACACTGTGGGACAGAAGGTTTTTGGGAAAGAAAAAAGGAGGAGATTTCCAAATAAGAGGCTTTTTTTTTCTTACGATTACAACGAATTAAAGGATTACAATAAGGTTTTCTCTGTGGAAAATAAAGAAAAATATTAAGCCCTTAACTGGTTTAAGAAGGATTACCAAAAACAAACCTATTGAAAATGGTACTCCGAAATACATTTAAAATCCTACATCATATATTGATTTAAACGCCGCAGTCTTACTTTTTTTTTTTGTATCCCGAGAACAATATAAATATCCCCTCGATTTTTATGTTCAAAAAGTTTCTTTTTTGAACAATAAGAAAATGAGACTGTAACCAAACAAAATTTTTTTACATACAAAAAAATTTTTTTTTCCTTTGAACGGTTTTCAAGGAAAATATCGAACGTATAATTGGTTAAATCCTTTAAAATAAAGATTCTTTTCTAATAATATCAAATTCGAATAAATAAATAAATTAACCTTGGAATATCTCTTTTTAAAATATACAAATATATATATATATATAAATTAAAAAAAAGTAAAAGAAAAAAACTTTTGAAAGTTTCCCCAAGGCAAAATATTTGTCAAAAAAAAAAAGAAAAGAAAAAAAAAACACCAACAACGCTTATTATTATTATTCAAAAAACACCTATTTCTTTTTTTTTTTTAAAAAAAAAAAAAAAAAAAAATGTTTGGAACGGCTGAATCTGGTAATGATAAAGTATCGTTCAAATTTAAAGTTCCGGCCAAATTAATAAGAACGCAACGATCGATATATACCCCACCATTCGCTACGACACAAAACATGTTTTGGCAATTAAAATTTCATCCGGTATTATTATATTATTCTAATGAACCGAATCCAAATGTTTTCATGATATTTTAAATAATTCATTCTGACCTCTTTATTTTTCTTTCATTTTCCTACATTAGGAAAGTAAAGATCATAACGAATATTGCGCACTTTGGCTAATAGCGTTACCAAACCCATTGGAAAAGTATTCGTCAGAAAATTGGTCGGATAGATCGGAATATTCCGTCACATATTTCATGAAAAATCCAAATGAAAAATTAAATTTTGGCAAATTAGAAAATTACAACGCCAGATCACCCGTGTGGGGTTTTACGAAATTTTGTAAGAAGGATCGATTACCAAAAGAAGGGGAAATAACGATTGGGGTTCGATTTAACAAAGTAAAATATGAGACCGAAAAGATTGCCACCCCCCTCCCTTCTCAACCACTACCCCAAGATCTATTAAAAGCTTGGAAATCGGAATTGGATCAACCCGAAATTTCTGATGTACAATTTAATTTCAATGAGGGAACTTTATACGCTAGGAGCACGATATTAATTGAACGTTCGGAATATTTCAAGTGCATGTTTCAACAAGATAAATGGTCCGAATCAAAATTTACCACAAAGTCTTTGATACCTTCATCGATGCAAATAACCCAAGCCAAATCGTGCACCTCAACGAAACGATCGTGGAATCTCCTTGATGTCTCGTTTGGGAGAATGAAAAAAGTTGAGGATTTATTTTCAATGTATCGTAAGATGAAATCACACCCATCACAACCGATGGCAACCATAACGTCATCATGTGGAAACACCTGCACGATAGTGTATGAAGGTGAAAGTTCCAACTCCATAAACGTTCCAAAGAGATATGTGGTAAACGTAAGTGATTTTCATCCTGATACATTTAAATCCATGTTAAAATTTCTATACACGAATCAAATAGAATTTTACTCGAATTCGTTACACAGACGACCAATAGACATATTTGTAATGGCTGATAAATATTTAATAACGGAATTAAGGGATCGTGCCAAATCTAAAATCTTAAAGGATTTAAAACCTGATAGTGCCGCTGAACTGTTATTTAACACAGAATGGTTATGGCCCGATGTGAAAGATATGATCATGAGCTATGTCGTAAGGAAGTGGGAAATGGTTAGGGAAACCGACAAATTTAGAGAAATATTGGAGAAACCTCAAGCTTATCCTAATTCTAAAGAAATCGTTGAAGAAATAATTGAAAGGGTTAGAAAGAATGACGAGGAAAAAAAAAAGCTTCTGGATGTTGTTGTTGTCGAGTAAATTAAATATTAAGGGTAGTTTCGAAACTACGCTTTTAAAATTATTTTTTAACACCATTACAATACTCATTATATATCACTAATTACCGTCATTGTGATGGAAAAAAAAAAAAAGTATAGTTTAATGTACATAAAATAGAAATTATTATCCAAAAGTAAAATAATAATGACTGGTTGCGCATTTTAAAACATTGGAATTGAAATTTATTTTTCAAAATTAAAAATTTTTATTGACAAATTATATTACATCGAAAAGATAAAAAAAAAATATTTTTTTAAAAGAAGAAATTTATGATCCAACGCTAACAGCATTTCTTAATTTCATGAATTCCTCGGTTGCAATAACTTTAATATGAGACGATTGTACGTTTGATAATTTTGTTATGTTTGTTGCCATCATTAAATTATATTCTCTGTACGCAAAATAAAACGTTAGCAAAGCAATGATCAATTTTAGGAATCTTGCGAAGCGAGAATTAAAGAGTTAAAAGATTGTTTACAATACTCACTCTGAATTAATTTCATCACCGACGACACCCCAATTACCATTACCAGCTCCAGATTTCTTTGGCAGAGCACGAATGTCAGTTAATGTTCCTCTTTAACAAAAAAAAAGAAGAAAAAAAAATTTTGGTTTAATAGATACGAGATTAATTTTTTTTTTTTTAAAAAAAAATACAAACCGTTGATGATGCTTTTCTTGATTGGGAGTGGCAACGTGTTGTTTTTTGCTATCAGTAATCATTTTTTTTTTTTTTCTGGATAATGAAAAAGATAATTCTTTCTTTGAAAAATTCGTCGATTTTATATGAGAAATTTTTCTTGGCGTGTGAACAATAATCACCCAATTTCTTTATCTTGTGTATGGGAATAATCGCGCGTCTGTAAACCAGTTATGGATTTAAATGTTAACCAATCATTAATGATCGTATCTTTTTTTAGTAATGATCAAAAGCTCATATGATCTACACAGCATTGATCACGCATGTTGATAATGTCGATAATGAATCAAACGTTATTGTTATCCCTCCCCCCAACATCTGTTTTTTTTTTTAAGCCTAATGATGTAATCAGAGTGACTCATGATTTGTATCTGATGATTAATAATAATTTTTTATAAAATTATGTCGCTCGCAGATTAGGTTCCGTGAATCCCATGACATGCACCTTTGATAGTCACAAATCAATACATTAACTCAAAAAATTAATCTTGCAGATGGAGAGTTAAAAAATTATGCCCAACTATAAGATTTAGGGGTAAAAAAATGTTGTTTTATTAATTTTAATACCTTATTGGATACATATGAAGTATTATTTTGTGTTATTTTTAGTTGAATAAACAAATTAATGAAAAAGGACCGATTCTCCATACGCACCGCAGCATTGCGTCATAGCTATGATTTTTACACGATGTAATAAAGCAATCAATCACGTTAGTCTGACAAAAAAAAACTAAACGAGTACCAAAAGTAAAAGATCACAACAACAAATAAAAACATTTCTTTTATTTTCTCCCTGAAATGACTGCTTTTATATTATCAAAACTCTGCCTTATAAAAAAATATTTGAAGAATTAAAAAATAATTTCGTTTCTCTACATTCTTGTGTTATTGTCAATCGACACTGGTGTACTTTGGCTTTACCAGAATTATGGAAGAATCCTTTTGATGCCATCAACATTTCGAACCTTAAAGTTGTGGCAAACATTCCTCTATTAAACACTTATGTCTCTTGTTTATCTAAAGACATTAGAGATAACTTGGGAGTAAAACCATTCATCAAATCTCTTATTTACAATATTTAAACTTCCAAATCATTCTAAAAAGTATTTCTATTTGGTTTTATTTACACAAGGATGATGATCCGGTTGTATTTAAACTAAAATCAAAGACAAAGAAAAGGAAAGTGTCGATAGAAGATGGTGTAGATAACATTCTCAAAGCTTTATGTGAATATTTCGTTGATCGTTCAGCGCGTATCAAGGGAGTGGATTTGTCCAACGATACTTTATGGAATATCTTTGACCTTCCAATTGCTGCCTTGAACTTATCACGACTTCAACATTTCTAGTTTGGAATTCAATAAATTGTGGCGCAGTTTCTTCGGCTGCAAAAATCGCAAAAAATATCGAGAGGTTAGATATTGATTTAAGAGATGCTCCTTTCCCAACGATGATTACAAGTTTAAGTGATATAGTAGAATTAATCAAATCTCAAAAAAATTTGAAGAAAATTGCGTTGTGCTGTTCGGTTTTGGAATTCTCTGAAATCATAAAAAGTCTCTCAATTCATCATGAAACCTTAACTCACATCACTCTTCATCATATCGAATTCGAGCGTAATTTTCCTCTCGCAGAATTGGCCGAATATTTAAACCTGAATTACTTGGAAATAGAAAATTGTAAATTTATTAGAGGAAAAATGATAAAGTTAGGTTTAAAATCGTTTCAAAAACTCCATTCAATATTGATCAAGAATACGAATTTGCCTTTTGAAATGTTGGAGTTTTTATGTTGTCAGGCTAATAGCTGTCTTCAAGTATTGGAATTATCAGCGAACTCTGATTTCGATAGGCTTGAAAATGTTTGTCTCAAATTTTGTCCAAACATTAAGAAATTTGTAACAACAAAAATTTCTTCATATGATAATTTCTATGGTAACTGCTTGCAAGAACCTTGAAGAGATTTATATCTACGAAGATCGGAATGAGGAAATGTTCAGTTGGCATTTAACTTGCGATTCAACCGACGCCAATAAATTCCTGAGACGCTCGGAAAAACCTTGCCAAGTTCAGTACATACTATTAAATACTCATTGGATAGGCATTTTGATCCAAAATCTCTCGAAATATTTCTTTCTCATTTCCAACCAGGAAGTTTATGTTGTGACTGTTCTTTTTTCTCGGATGAACATTTAAATGTGATAATCAAATTCTGTGGCAACACGTTAAAGAAATTACACATTGGTGGGATGCAAAATTTGCATAACACTACGTTCTTGAAAGGAGACATCAATTTCTCGGAGAACTTTACGTGGAAAAGGTTAGGTATAAAAGATGGTTTGTTGATTCTCGATGTTTATCAGTAATTCATTATTAAAAGGATGAAACGTTTAATAAATTGCGAAACGAACTCAAATTCAAATTTAATTATTTATCAATGCACGAATTAAAGTGACGGCTCCAAAGAAAATGAATCGGATTATTTTCCAAAATATTTTTCTCAAATACCTCTATCCCTCCTTCTAAATCTTATCTTTAATATGCGCCAATAATAAATTTCTATGTGATTCCATCAGGTTCGATATTTTCATCCAATACTCTTTGATAAATTCTCTTAACATCATTTAATGTGTATTCTTATATCCTTCCATTAGATCATTATAGATGGTCAGGTTAGGCTTTAACCCATCCAACTTTAATTAATATCTTCAAGGTATCCATATTTGAAACTTCATGATACTTGATTAATTTTTGACAAATTTCTCTAGCTTGTTGTATATCTTTGATATCAACCAAAACTTTATTTACGATGTGATAAATATCTTTTGTAGGAATTAATTGATGAGATTCTATCAAGTTATAAAATTCCAACCCACCTTTAAAATCATTGTTTTGAAAATACCCTCTTAATAACAAATATAAATGATGTGGGTGAGGTTTAACGTCATTTGAAATCATTTCATGAAAAATTTGTAACGCCGAAAAATAATTTCCTTTGCTTGCAAAAGACTCGATTAAATTCCATGAACCGGTTTCAATTGCAAAATTATAATTCCTCTTTCGCATCGTTTTATATACATTTCGTGCAGCTTCTAAATATCCATATCTTAAAAAAGTTGAAAAAAGTTGTCGTAAAAATTTATTGCTAACTTTCATCGAAATCGTTGGATTATTATTAAATGGAAGTTTGCTCAATAATTCATATGATAGTTCGGGAAGGATTTTGATATATGATGTTGGTAATTTATCGTTTTCATGGTGGTATATCAACCTCCTTATCAGGATAAAACAGATGTACATGTTTGGTTTTATCAAAAACTCTTGTCTCATTTTTTTATATAATCGCATGGCTTCGTTCAAATTTTTAGAAGGATTTGTTTCAGGTCCAGGAAATCCAAGCTCACAAGGTCCAATTTGCATCGTTATTAAATGTTGAAAAGTTAAAACGTTTGGTTTTAAATTTTTTCTTTTGATCATTTCATCAAAGTATCTTCTTGCGAGATGCACATCCCTCCGTTTGGAACAAGACAACAACATCCAATTATAGGTGTCACTTGTGACATTCCAATCACCTTTTACGTAAAATCGTTCAAAAGCCCATTTTAAATCCTGGGATCGATCATTCAAAGCGCAACGTTTCATAAATTCATCAACATGTACTTTTAACGGTTTGAAATTCGATTCAACCATCTCCCTCAAATAATGATTAACGGATCCAACATCATTGACCGAAATACTTCCACGTATTAAGTAAATATAAGTTTCCCTCGTCGGTTGATATCCTAAATCTAGTAAAACGTTAAACCACCTTTTAACGTGATTCATTTTTCCTAAACTGCTATAATCCCTTATCAATTGTTGCAACGTGAACTTTGTAGGGGTGAGACCAAGATTTTTCATTTCCGCAAAGATCTTTTGATCTTGATTTATTAAAAATTCATTTGACGCACAATTTCGTAATATTATGTTATAACAATTGGAATTTAACGTGATCCTTGACCTTTGTAACATTTTTCGAAACCATCGTGACAAATTTAAATTGGTTAATTTACTCTTTTGAAACAATCTAATGAATATTCGCTCGATATCTATCATTGATAAGGATGATGATGTTTGATGTGTTGATTGTGAGTTGAGAATTTTCACATTATTATACATGTAAACTCGTAGGAATTTCCAAAAATCCGTCGAATCCTGTTTCGTTAAAAGAAATAGTCTCAACCTCCATAAGAATTCATCCTCGTTGAAGGTCGTTAGATGACAAGTATCGTTCAGCTTCTTATTCGTGTCAATCGGGTTGACCTTAATCATCCCATGATGTTGCGTTGTCGTTGATGAGAATCTTTTTAAAACGATCATTCGACCCGAGATGTTGTTGCATTCATTTTCCAACACATTGAACGATGATTGCAAGAAATTGGTTCGAAGGTACTTTAAATAAGTAAGGTTCTTCGTCCAATGACAATAATAATGATTTTGCAAAGGTTTCAAAGTTGAAGAGATTTTTGTGTGATTTAATAAATTCATGTTCTTCATTATATATATATATGAATCAAAAAGGTCAAAAAAGGAGATCGATTATCTTGTAATAAGAAAAAGCCACTAAACCATATAAACCGATGATTTGATGATTTGATGATTTAATGAATCATTGGTTAACCATGTGACTTTCATTTATGTATAATATAAATAATAATAGAGAGGTGGGTGATCGATCAATTTTTTTAGGGTAAAAATAATTTAATTTATGCAAAAAGATTTTAATACGTTTTGTATCTCGTAAGTGTGAATTTTAATTCCATGATCTTTTGTTTCGAATCATAAAACAGATTTAATTAAGGTATGTTCGTCAAAAATGATTTTTGTTAACGGGAAACTTTGTCATGTGAATGTGACACGATCCGATCGACAATGAAAGTCATTTTGCCGCCAAAAATTCTTCCCCCCAAAACAAAGATTCTTTTTTCTCCTGAGATGTTTCATATTTTTTAAACGTACCGATTTAAACTCAAATAGGATTTCTTGTATTAAAACCTGAAACCACGTCAATGTAAATTAAAATTGAAGAGAATTCGATGAGTAAGGAGATTATTTTTTATTTGGTTCCAATATTTCAAAGGACGTACTTTTTCTAAAATAAATGTTAAGCATGCATACAGTGAGAAATATTCTGTACGACCATTCGTTTTATATAATAAAATCTAATATCTGATATTCAACCTGTTTCAAATTGAATTGATCCATATACTTCATTATATTAACAAATTAATTTGTATGACCGCGTCTGCTTATAAACCATCGTCAGAAAGGCTTTGTTAATCGAGAATTGGGGAAGAGGTGTTCAGTGCGAGTATGCCACAGAATAATTTGCTCAAAGATTCTCCCCCTTTAGTTTATTCGGGATTTGGGTGCAGTGTCACGACATGTAGAGAAATCATTCTCATGGATGATTAGACGTGAAACATATAAAATAAAAAATATGTCAAAAACTGAAACCTCTTGATTTTTATCTATAAATAAAAATCGGTTCACAGGTTGTTGTTATTTTCACTTTTTATTTGCGCGCGAATAGTTGGAAGGAATGATGGTGATACGGATTACTAAAAAGAATGAACGGTCAAAATTTTCGTAAAATAGGTGAGTAACTGCGCCTCAACATTACGGGTTCTCGGTTTCTATTTTTAAAAAAGTATTCATTCATTCATTGTATGCAATGAAAATCAATATCGAAAAAACTTTTCATCTCTTCCGAATTTCCCGATCTGCAAATTTTTTTTTTTTGAAAAAAGAAGTAATTTAAAAAATGTGCCAAAAATAAATAAAATAAAATAAAAAAATAAAAAAAAAAAAAAACGAGAGATTTCCTACAAAAGTTTTTCACATTGCAAAAAAAAAAAAAAAAAAAATTAATTTAATTATATGATAGTTTTATTTTTTTTTCTTTTAAAAAAGAAAAAAAAACAACGAACAAAATCAAAGAATGATTTCAAATTTTTGGAACATGAAAGTAAGGATTTTATTTGCTTATAAATATTTGTTGATATTTAATATATATATATATAAAATTACTGTTAAACAAATTATTAACCCATTTTTAAATGTGTCACGACTGATTTAACAGTTGAAGATGAACTTCCAAATTTTGAAAGTACATTAAAAAGAAAATAGTTAGTACTGGGGATAAAAAAATTATTTATACCTATGATAAAAAAAAATAAAAATAAAAATTAAATAAAACTTTGAAAAATTGAAAAACGTTTTTTTTCTTTTTTTTTTTTTTTTTATAAAAAACAAAAATAAAAACAATAAATAAATAAATAAATAAAAACAAAAAAAAAAAAAGAAATGGAAATTCAACCGCAAGTACACCAGCAGTCTTCGACTCATATGATGAAGACGACAAGGTCTGGAAGACCTTTTGTCAAGGTTCGTACTTTTATTTGTTTGAAAGAAATTTTTGGTGCCATGGATCTGGTGAAATTACCTTCATGCTCATAATATTTACAAAGGACGTCAAGATCTGAATTTACAGCGTAAAGTAGTTCGCATTTCATTTGTATGGTGCAGGAAGTCTATACTCAACAATATAAATGTAATACTTAAAAAATTTTTCAACTCTTTAAAAAAATAAAATTTAGAAAAAATAAACTGGTAACTTTATATTTTGACCGGTCAGTTTTTCAAATATAAAAAGTTATAGGTATTTAAAATTGGATAATTTTCATTTGATCCTGAATTATAATTTGAGCCAGCATTATGGTAATTAATCATAATGTCAGCCAGAATAATTATAATTTTAAATTAATATCTCATTTTTCATTGATCAATTACCAATCACGTGATATAAATCCTAAAAAAATTTTGAAACATTGTTAAGACTTCCGGTACCATATATATTTTATATAGTGAAAGAAAAAAAAAAAAAAAGACCTGCATTATTTATTTATTTATTTTTAAT